AACAGTGCTTACAATTTACCAGACTCTCCTATTTGTGAACGATTACATTTTAAAAAGCCAAGGGGGCTATGGACTGAGTGTCTGTATCCCTCTGCAATTCATATGCTGAAGCCCTAATCTTCATGTGATGATATTTGGAGGTCAGGTCTTTGGGAAGTAATTATGTGTAGATGAGTTCATGAGGCCGTGGAGCCCCCCGTGTGGGAGTAGTGCCCTTATCAAATGAAACCAGAGCTCTCTCCCCCACAGGAAGATACAGTAGGAAGGCGGCCATCTGTAAACCAGGAAGAGGACACACACCAGAAGCCCACCTCTCCGGCACCCTGATCTTGGGCTTCTAGCTTCTAGAACTATGAGAAATAAATGTTTATTGTTTAAGCCACCCGGTCAGTAGTATCTTTGTTATATCAGCTTGAATGAAGTCAGGGGGAAATCAAGAAATTAGCCTTAAGCACCTAAAATACCTTGTTTAAAATTCTTCAGTACACTTTTTTTGAGTTCCAGACACCACCCATATTTTGTAGTGTGGCATTTAAAATCTATCCTGATCTATTTACCTATAACACACCCCCACATACACACACATACCTAAATTTAAATACTTTACAAATATCCTCCCACACTTTTGTACTCTCCATGTTTTTACTTATAATCTGTCTTGCCCCTGCCAGGAAAAACCCTCCATAGCACCATGACTGATGAAATTCCACATATCTTTCCAGAATCCACTCACTTATCAACCCCATGGGAGAGGCCTAAGTAAGAGCAGCAGATAAAAGCTGGAGAGAAAAAAAAAAAAAAAGGCTGGAGAGCGCTTTTTTTGTGCTGGTTGCTTTCATTCTGTCAAACATTCTGGGTGATGCAGGCATTGTTTCTATTTGAAAGTTTAGAAACTAAAGTTTAGAGTTTGTGATTTGCTCAAAATGATACTTGGTTAGAACTGGGATTGAGGTCTAGGAAGACTTGATTCTAAAGCTTGTACTCTTTTTTTCTGTACAACATGGCTTTTGGGGCATTCCTTTAATTAGAATAACATTTATCTTATGTATTCTAATTATATTTATCTTTCAGTACACTCTGAGTTCTTTGAGGGCAAAGTCTGCCTTATTCATTCTTTTACCCAAATGATTATCAAAGAGAGTAAGAACTTAATATACATTTGGTTGAAAGTAAATGGTGGCAGTTATTTATGGAATAGCTCTAGTGGTGAAAGAATTTCATATTAGATGTTATAAAGCTAAACTCAAACTATTTCCCCAAAAATGAGGATTTCAAGGATTCAAACAGTCTTTTTAATTCCTATCCTAGGCAAGCACTTGATTAAGAATTACCTAATCCAGCCACCTGACTTTCCAAGACGGTACTGTGAGTCAGAAGACATGAATGAATTCTTTTGGGACAGTTCTAAGTCATCAGGGATGCAGAAGAGGGTGAAGGAGTTTTTGAATACTAAATGGCTCATCCTACTTTGTGGCAAGAAACCGTGGCCTTGGAAAATAAGAGCAAAGTAGGTTTTTCAGTCTGCTCCAAAGGATTTATTCTATAAATAGTACAACAGTGCACAACACAAACCAAATGTCTTCATTTACAGAATTTTTTGTCTAGGGCTGGGAAATAATTTTATAATAAAGTGGGGATGTGGATGAAGGGAAATATAAGAGATCTCAATGATGTTGAAAGGAAAAGCAAACAAACCAGTGTGACTGCAGGGGATGCGGGGTAACTGGTAGGAAATTAAGTCAGAGAGCTAACAGATGATGTGGGACCGTGTCCAACAGATCATGTTAAAGACTTTAGAGGTAATGAATGATGAGGATTTAGTGGTTTTGACCATGTTAACATGATCTGATTTGCATCTTTAAACAACTTTTGTTCTGGTGAACAGATAGCAGTGGAGTAAGAGCACAAGGAGGAAGGCCCACTATGAGGGTATGAGAATAGTCCAGTGAGGAATGGAGGAGGAAACTATGGTTGGTTATCTCTAAGAGTGGTGAGAGGTCATATTCTGAATGTATGTGGAAGCTCTATCCAAGATTTGCTATGCACTGGAAGTAAGAGAACAGATGAAGAACCCTGTTTTTTGGCTTAAGCAGCTGGGTGAATAGAATACAGCTTAGTGAGGAGGGAAACACTGAAAAAGATCGTAAGTGTGTTTGAGAAATCAAGACTTCTATAGGAATATTTGTAAATGAAATTATGTGACTACGATTACTTCAAAATAATCTAGTTCTGTAAATATAAAAAAAGGTTAATCATTGCTAATTGTTGAGACAGGATGATATGCACGTCCAGGTTTATTACACTATCCTACCTTCTGCATTTACAATTGTTCAGTAGTAATACTTATTAATATTTTAATAATAAACCTTTAAAAGTGCTTATAAACACACATCAGACTTCGTATGGAGATGTTAGATATACATGGAGTTCAGCAAAGAAATCAGGCTAAGAGTTATAGGAGTTATCAGCACATTTAAAGCCATGACATAGGATGAGAATGCCTACAGAGTAAATAAAAATAAATAGGTCCAGCACTAAGTAACTAAACTCTCCAACATTAGGAGATGAGAAAAATTTTGAAAGGCATTTTTGCCAGGATTTTGCAATGTGTATTAAGTCACTAGAAAATATGTAACTTTGAATCAGTAATTCCATTTCTAGGAATGTATAAGAAATGAATAGGACTAGTGTACATAGACTAAAAGATTTATTACAAATGCTCAATGGGAAAAGAGAAGGGAGGGAGGTGACATGGTAAAATAGCCTGAAAGTCAATCAATGGGCTGGCTTGATACAGTACGTTACATTCAATGGAATATTGTCCAGCAATTAAGAATGGTGTAGGTATAGACCAGTGGTTTTCAACCTTCCTAATGCTGGGACCCTATAATACAGTTCCTCAGGTTGTGGTGAACCCAACCATAAAATTATTTTCATTGCTACTTCACAACTGTAATTTTGCTACTGTTATGAATTGTCATGTAAATATCTGATATGCAGGATGTATTTTCATTGTTACAAATTGAACATAATTAAAGCATAGTGATTAATCACAAAAACAGTATGTAATTATATATGTGTTTTCCAATGGTCTTAGGCAACCCCTGTGAAAGGGTTGTTCGACCCCCAAAGGGGTCACAACCCACAGGTTGGCGACCCACAGGTTGAGAACCGCTGGGATAGACTCAAAATGTTTTGAGAAAAGCTGATCAATTAGAGCATTCTAGTTTGTTTTATACTTATTTACACTATAATGTTAATGTTTTGCACTAATCTTTCCATCAATAACCTAAAATAGTAAATGGTAAAATTACATAGCTTTTCCCCACTTCATTTATCTGTAGTTTGTAATTTTTCTCAGTAGATATTATAAAAATATACAAGGTTAATCTATACTAATAAAAGGGTAATATGCAAATTGGTAACACCCTCACAGTCACGACCAGATATGCTAATTATCATGACCAATATGCAAATTGACCATCACTTCAACACGAGGGATATGCGAATTAACTCTGATATGCTGATTAGTCATGACCAGTATGCAAATTGACCATAACTCCAACACACAAGATGGCCACCACAAGATAGCCTGTAGGAGAGGGCAGTTAGGGGTGACCAAGCCAGCAGGGGAGGGCCGTTGGGTGTGACCGGGCCAGCAGGGGAGGGCAGTTGTTGGCAATCAGGCCAGCAGGGGAGGGCAGTTATGGGTGACCAGGCTGCATGAGAGGGCAGTTTGGGGGGTAGCAGGCCGGCAGGGGAGGGCAATTTGGGGGATACCAGGCCAGCAAAGGAGGGCAGTTTGGGGGCAACCAGGCCTGCAGGGGAGGGCAGTTGGGAGTAACCAGGCCGGCAGGGGAACAGTTAGGCATCGATCAGGGGAAGGGCAGTGGTTAGGGGGTGATCAGGCTGGCAGGCAGGCAAGCAGTTGGGAGCCAGCAGTCCTGGATTGTGAGAGGGATCCCAGATTGGAGAGGGTGCAGGCTGGGCTGAGGGACAACCCTCCCCCCCCCCCCCCGTGCACAAATTTCATGCACTGGGCCTCAAGTTTTTAAATAAAACTCATTAAGGAATATAAAATACAAATGACCTTAAATAGGAACCTGACTTGAATTCGTCAATATTTACATTGATACCATAACATCTGATTGAAATAACTATTATTACTTTAAAGTAAATATACCATAAGAAATCATTTCAATAGTATATAAATATTTTATTTAAATTAAGAAATGTAATAAAATTACACACACTTGTTCCACTGTTTGGGTAACATTTCTAATTATTTATAAATAACCTACACACCATTTCTCAGGTACCAAGTTCTAAGTATTGCAATAGTGTCAAAGTATATTTTTCACAATATGCAAGCTATATTCCACAATCTGGCATAGAAATCCAGACACAATATATACAATGCACACTGACTTTAACTAACCTAAGGATAGTAAGTAATATTAAAAGTCAAGGCAATTTATTTCTCTGTAGTGAAAGTTACAACACACGTTGTTTTGAGATGAACTATATCTAAAAAAAATCACTGTGACTATCATTTATATTGATCTAATTAAGTTTTTAGAACATTGTCATTCCACTTCCCCTAATTTAGCTAATGATATCACTAGCAAGGTCTTATTCATGAGCTTGACCTTAACCTTAAAAAATAAACTTGTTTACAACATTTGATATTTTTCAAAATTCAGTATTTAGTTTAAAAGACTTATTTTTACAAATCCAATTATAACAATTCTGCTTTTTCCTTATAATGCTTTTATTAGATAAAAACTATTATGACTTCAGAAAATCCTGTTTAGGTTAAAATTCTGACTCTAAAACTTTCTACATGTATTTTATTAATATCTGAGTCAAACTTCTAGATGGTTATAGGGATATTACATAAAACTTTTTTTTTAAAGCTTTTTCCATCTTGATTATAAAAATTATCAACTACTACATTGCTAAAATAATTTCTTCTTTCTTGGCTTCAGGCCACTGTCTTGTCTACTTCAAAAGTGAAAATTATTGTTTTCCTATATCTAATAATATTATTCAAGCATAGATATTAAGAGATAAAAATAAAATTTAGCTTAATATTTTATCATTATCACCTGTTAGGGGTTGGCCAAATCAGATGATTTCCTCACTAGAAAAACAAGCTTTAAACCAAATATTGATTTTCATCCTGTAACTCACATTTGTCTATTGAATCAATTACCCAACCTTCTTGCAGAATTTTAAACTTTCTCTTAAGAGTTCTTCGAAAAGCTTTAAAATCTGCAACACGACTATGATCCTCCCCAATGATTACATGAGACACTCCCTTAGCTAAACGAGAAACTACTTCTGCTCCATGAAAGCGAAGCTCTAAGGCTGTAATAGCTAATCTTGTTCCCTCGATTTTGGTAGTCAAGTCATTAATAACAGTATACAAGTCCAAATAAATGGTGTGATTTCGAAACATATTCAGGGGAGAGCAGTCCCAGGAATATCGACACTCTAAATCAGCAATCACAGAGGCCATTTCTTTAGGAGTCTGTTCACTAGAATCTTTAATTCCTGAGAATACTTCCTTCAGTTGGTTCAAATCTGTATCAACAAAATAACTATCACCATAACGATCATATTCACGGGCAAAATGTTGTTTTGTTGATGGGCACATATGAATCATAAAGTGAGGCTGCCATGGCACACAGCTTTTGGTCTTAAAACATTCTAACAGCCACTCGGGCTTGACAACATCATGTTTATCTGAAGAAATTATATTTTTCACTCTTATGTTCTCAGACCCTGCAATAACACAGTATGTGTCTGGGCCTGGGTTTTGTACTATATAACCACCAAATTCTGCAATTCTGTTCTCCAGGTCAGGCTTTGGATGGCCATTTATTCCACTCATAACACAAAACTCCACATCTTCAAATATATTGGAAACTTTGTTTACATTGGAAAGGTTAGGTGCTTTTAAGTGCTCAATAATTCCAATAACTTTCTTTATTTTGGGGGGAGCTTTCCGCTTTTTTACTTGGGGTTCATCATCACCACCGACAGAAAGGTGTTTAGACGCAAGCTTTCCAGATGCTTTCCCTCGAAGTTGTTCTAAGTCATCCAGAGTCATGCACTCATGCCACTCTTTGTCTTCTCTGATCTTCTCAATTCGTGGAAAACGCAAAGTGCAGCCAGTTTTATACATGTCGCTGGGAACAATCTCTGACGCTTTAATCTGAACGATGACAGAATTACAAGGCTCAATGTACACTTCTGGCTTCTCTGTTCCAAATAAAATGCTACTTGGTGGGGCTTTTTTATGAAAAGGCTTCCAATGCTTGGCCAGTTTCAAACCCAGATCATATAGTTCTTTCATGGTGTAACCTGAGCCAATACGACAGAGAGTATGAAACACTGACGGTTTCTCACCAGAAGCATGCTTCTCTGCGACAGCACACAAAAAATGAGACATCATTCCACCCCGGGCACCTTTACCCCAATAGCCCCCGACAATGATGATGTCCAGTTCATCCATGAGGCCGTTTACATACTCTGGTTTAATTTTTAACCATCCTTCACCTCTTTTGTCTGGCTTATAAATGGATAGAGGATGTTTGATCATGATTCCCTCTTCTCTTTTATCTATTGCTTCATTCAGAGCATCAATTACTTCTTTATTAGTATGAGCTTGTGTTTTTTCCACTATTTCTATTCTGCCTGGTATTGGTGTTAAAATACTACTAAGAATTTCGTATCTCTTTCTCAGAGTTTCACGTCCTAGCTTTTTATTATTGACCATTAATACATCAAAAACACAATAGCAAGTCTGCAGATCAGAATCTTCTACCATTCTTTTAATATCAAACTTATTCCCCTTTTGCATAAAAGTTTGTGTATTAGGATTGTAGGCCATCATCTCACCATCAAGGATACAAATCTGTATATCTGTTCTGAATGCATTATGAATGAATGGTGTAAGAGAACCTTTCTGTGGAGAATCACCAAACTGTTGCGTAAATTTATGTCCATTTCGGGAGAAATATTCATATACATTCCCATCTTTGTGCATTTGCATACGCTCGCCATCTAGCTTGGTTTCAATATAAAAACTCTGGTTTTTCATGTCCTTCTCAATTCGCCCAATATCTGCTATTGCAGCGAGCATTGGTTTAAAGGGAGAGAATAAAGTGATAGAGATATCACTGAGCCCTACTGAAGGGTCATGCAGTTGCCTACAGACTTTTTCCAGATCTGTGGTGACATTATGCAACTCCGCAGCATCATTATGAAAAAGAGAAAATACAGTTTGCTGACTAAAACCTAGCTTTAAGTCCTTTACAATCATTCGTATTAGCCACTTTTGTTCAAGTGCTGAACTCTGAGTTATGAGCTGAAGAAGACTCTTCTTTATTAGGTCCTTTCTTTTGGCAGAATTATTGGTGGCAATTGAGTCCAAAATGTCATTCACTTGCTGTATGGTTAGACTTCCTTTCTGTAAACATCTTGGTTTCAATACAAAGTATGCAATCATGGCAAAGTCTCCGGCATCTCCACGGGTTCCAGTAGGTGTCCTGTAATTTAAAAGTTTAAGAGCATCTTTTCCTTCTTTAGGTAAATTGAGCAATTCAATATAAAGCTTAGCAAGCATTGTTTCTTTGATTCCATAGGCCATTCTCTCTCTTTCTAGCTGAGGAAGAATAAGTCTCATTGCAGGATAAAAAGAGTCTGTGACGTCTTTCTGGTTCTTATGAAGGGCATCATGGAATTTTCTCCAAGAATCTAAAAATTCCCTGAAGTGTCTGATTTTATCTGCACGTCCTTTACTTCTCTGTATTCGTTCTAAAGTTGAACATAAATCTGCAAAAGGAACGTGAGATGCAACAGTTTGCGAAGTTTGTGAGGCAGCCATAGAAGTGATGGGTGAATCCTCTGGTTCAACTAATAAAACAGAAAGAGAGTAACTTTAAGTAATAGATAAAATTCAACTAAATATTTAATGTAAAGTCTTTAAAGAGAACACCTGGTTTGCCAAGTGAAAATGGATCAATGCTATAAATGCTGTAAATAATGTCTTTTCAATCTCTACATTTAATAACAACCAACTATTTTATCTTAATTCTATTTAGTATCTATTATCAAAAGTATCAGTAATCCCACTGTCTGTAATTTACAATACTAACTTTAATTATTTTAATTTTCTTACTCCTTAAATTGCAGCTTCTATTGAAATTATTCCATTCCTTATTTAGCACATAATGCAAAAGATGATTGCTAATAATGATAGTAACAAATAAGGCTCAATTCACTATATTTCTGAACTTCTTATCTCTCTGTCAGACACAGTATCAGAAACAAATTTCTTAAAACAGATGTTTTCAAATAATCATTAGCTCATTGAATTGAAATTTGGCTTTGTAGGAAGTTTTTTTTTCAAAAAAAAAAAAGAAGAAGAAGAGAAAGACTCTGGTGTTAACCTATGCCGCCATCTTCGGTTCTCTCCCACATTTTTAATATCCATGCAAGTTCTATTAGAATCTATGAGGTATCAGAATCTATGGTTTAAACTATATAACACTCACTTTTCAAACAGACTTTAAGTAAAAATGTGTGCTCCAGAAATACAGACCTCTGCTTTTATCTAGTGTTTCAGACACCTGCTGGCACATTCCAGATAGCCCAGAGAGGCCAGAACAGTGTCACACAGAGGATGGGATGAACTGCTATAGTACAGAGACCACAAAATCCCCCACTCCTGCAAGCAAAAACCATCAAATACACTGTGAGTACAAGGCTACGTTATCCAGCACAAGAAATGAATGGCTAACTGTTGTACCACACTTACTAAACTGTCTGTCTCCAGAGATCAGAAATCATGTTACAATTTGTGCCACTAGCGATTGGCAAGACATAGGTCTGCTTGTTTAATGAATTACTAAATACCTACAGTTAAGTTCCTGGGAACCATACTAGGGAATGCCAGGAGAGAGAAAGAGAGAGAGAGAGAGAGAGAGAGAGAGGCAGAGAGGCAGAGAGGGCAGGCACATGGCTGGAGGTTAAAAAAATATTCAACAGCTATGACTGCATTGGGAAAGATTCACAACAGCCATTTATTGGCCTCTAGGGAAAAACACACACACATTTTTCAGTCTATTCCTGACAAAGAAAATCCCACTTCCACTGAGGTATTTAGATCAAGAGATAAACCCATGAGACTACATTCTTTTATCTTTGAATATACTAACTGCTTCCCTTCACGGTGTCTCATTTGCATAACTGAATGCACCACCTGGTTATGTTAACTGTCCTACCTCTCAAAACATGCTCCCTCAAGCCAGAATAATTTGGTATATAATGTTATTTTTATAATTTAGATAATGTATGTTAAGATTAAGTATGTAAAAAATACTTCTTTAAATGTTCAAGTATTGGTATACAGTTTTCAATGGATCTGTTGATTCTCTATGGTCTCAAAGTCAGTTTCCCTCAACAACTCCCAGGGAAAGACTCAAATTACTGTAAGACTGCTATATAGATAGTGAAATGTTCAAGTATTGGTATACAGTTTTCAATGGGTCTGTTGATTCCCTATGGTCTCAAAGTCAGTTTCCCTCAACAAGTCCCAGGCAAAGACTCAAATTATTTTATACTAATCTTGAAATCTAGTTATAGATGAAGACACGCGCGCATGTAAGACTGCTATATAGATAACAAGAATTCCAAAATTAGTATAAAATGAATAGACAAATATTTTTACTCATTTAAACTGTATGTTGTTATAATGTAAGGATTTCCACTGCTTTTTACATGTGCTCTAATTTTGAAAAAAGAAAGGAAGGAAGGAAGAAAGAAAAGGTATCTTCTTTCAGACAAAGCCGATGGCTGTTTACTTCCACTCCTTCACTGCTAGCTCTGCCTAATGACTCTGAAATTCGAAACCTAACTCAAAATACCCTCCCCCATGAAATCCTCACTTGACCTGTCTCTTTTAGTTCTATATTTTAACATAGCTACTTACAGTTTTATAAATTTGATTTCATTAGTACATTTTAGCTTAAGTTTTCAATTTTTGAAAAAAAAAAATTAAAACCAGGTTTGTGGTTAGGGCTCAGGCTCTGGAGTCCAATACATGAATTCAACCTTGGACTCCAACATTTAATGTCTGTGTGATATGGGGCCACTACTTAGTTTCTCTAAGATTCAGTTTCCTGAAGTGTAAAATGGGGTCAATAACTGCAGAAATTAAGATGATGATGACATCAGATAATTCACTTAAGGTGCTTGACACCATACCTAGCATTTTGTAAATCCCCGACCCAAGCAGTTTTTAAAACACAAGTATTAAAAATACTAAGCAGATAAGAAGGGGAACACTTGTCGACAATAAGCAAAGATTTCAAGAGAATGAATATAAAGTAACTAGTACACAATGACTCATCCATCCGGTTGCTGCCTAGATTGTCCAGGAGACACAACAAAACACACTAGCAAGCTTGTGGCTATGGGGGATGACTCAATGCCATGTTATTGGAGAGAAAGTGGTACCATTCGGGTTCCTTCTGCAATCCTGGACAAGCGGGGCTGTTTCCCTATGAGACCCCGGGTTCCCACGGCACTTGCTGACACGTGGGGAGCATCCCAGCGGAAAGAAATCAGTGGGAAGAAAAAGCCAGAAGCCTGCGGGAACGAGCAAGTTAACGAAAGTCCGAGGGTAAGAAGAGAAACAAGGTAATTCCCTCCAAGCCTACGGTCTCTCAAGAGAGAGAGACCGACACACGCCTGCAAGATCACTGCGGCGGTCCACACCACTCCTCTGCCCCAACAAACCCTCCCATGGATGGTGGACCCGCTGCCAACGCAGCGCGGTCACCCCTGCGGTCCGCACTTCTCCCCTACGCATCCAGGGGGCGGCTGAACTGGAAAACTTTTTGCCCAGAAAGAAGAAGAATGAATGTGTAACCTTTGCTGGACGCAAGATGGCCCCCTCCTGCTTTGGTCCCTCTGGCCCAGCCTCTGCCGGCCCACACTCCACCGCTGGCTCTCTCCGTGGACTGCGGGGTCCGCCCCACAAAACTCCTCTCTGACGCGAAACCTCTGGGGCCACCGCCAAACCTGACGCCGCAACTGAGAAGCCGGCTTGCCGGACGCAGCTGGGGAGGCCCCGGACGGGAAAGAAATGCTGCGCGCATGCGCGGTCGTACTGGTAGGCTAGGGGAAAGCCATGACGTCATAGGAATGTTGGAAGCAGGCGGGGGATTCTGGGAAAGGGTACTGGGGATAGCACTCGCCTTGCAAGGCTGCGGAGAACCCGGGGTCCGTGGTAGCAGCGTGACTACACACACAGCTTCCAATAGCCTCCAAACGCAGCGAGCGCTTTTTGCAAGAGGTTGGCCCATAAGAGTTGTTTTCGTAGCTGCGGGAGACCCAAGAACCCTTTGTGCATTTGTGCACTGGCTCCTTTCTGAGACCATGAAGCCCTTTCTCTGCTTGGCCCGCCCGGTGGAAAGTGACAGCCTCTCGGTTCTGTTCCTGTTTGCAAGCAGTGGCACCAGTACTCATCTGGCTGGTTGGCTTTGAAAGCATGGGTTGAAGAGGGTATCACCCATCCCAATCCCTCTGCTGTTACTTAAGTGGGAAAATTGGCTTTTGCAATATTGGCTAAGGCTGTCTGTCCTAGTTGTTTTTCATGATGACACAACTTCCATGTGAGTTCTTGAGACAGGCTAGTAAGCCAGGTCAAGCAGAATAGGGAAACTGAGACAGAGTCAAACAAGCAGTATGCAGCCATTTAGTAAATCCTATCTTCCCTAAACCAGGCACATTTAAGAGTAAATGGTTTGCCCTTCGCCTCCCCAACCAGAGGATAAATAGCTTAAATCACTCTAAACAGGGAAATAGCGGAAATCCAATTAGTGTCATATGCCATATCCAAGGGGATATAAAGGGAATAAATCTCATTTTGGCACATCAACATAAAGGTAATGAATATTCTGTTGAATCTTCCCCTAAGACTCCCCCAAAGTCCAAGCCTTTAAAACTCTTCAAACCTAAGGTCTCAGCAGTGTTCTCCCTCCTGGAAGCACCCCTCCCCTGTTCTTCCCCCACAGGCACCCATCTCCTAAATTCTAAGGGACACCAGAGGGTTGCAATCAGGGCAGCAATGGGCAGGGGCAGTTCATCCTGGGCAAATCACCCCGTCCCCGAGGCCCCCTTTTCTCTGACTTCTTAGTGATCCGAAGCAGCGCTGCCTAGGCTCATTTCTTCACCTAGTCCAGTGATGGCGAACCTTTTGAGCTCGTATGTCAGCATTTTGAAAAACCCTAACTTAACTCTGGTGCCGTGTCACATATAGAATTTTTTTGATATTTGCAACCATAGTAAAACAAAGACATA